ATTATTTGCTTTTCTTCACATTTATTTATTTTTTTTTGTTTTTCCCAGTGTTCACGATTGGATTAGTAATTAGCGTTTAATATAATGGTCTTTTTAAAAGTCTGTTACTAGTAATTGATTATCTTCACAATGATGAATACGTGTATGCTACCCTTTTTATTGTTCGACGGTTGGTAGAGGTACTAATTGCTGCCTGAATAATATTTTGTACAAAGGCCTAGCTAGACTGATAGGCTATGGGGCATGGGCCTGAAATCCTTTCTTTGTCAAATAAGAAACGTAGTTAAATGTTAACTGTAACTGATCTATATTTTAGCAATTAATACATTACCTTTCGCTTTTAGTGATATATTTTTATAAGCCTATATTTGGTTGAATAAATAGGATGTCATTTGTGCATTGAATTTTTATTTGACGAAGTATTTGATTTAATTACTAGTTTTTAACATACAAAAATATAGGCATACATAAATACTCTAAATTTTAAAGTATTAAAACTTTACTTGTAATGGTTATTTGTTATTATAATATATATGTAATATATTGTAATAATTGTAATAGTTATTTTTAACTTTTTAATTTCTTTTAGTTACTTGCCCACCTACTTTCTTCAGATGTTTGTATGGATCTTGTATATATGATGAATTCACATGTGATTACTATATATATGATTGCGGTATAAGCAATTATGATGAATCAATAGAGGTTTGTGCAGGTAAATGTTGTTCATATTTGTTGTAAAAGCTGATTGGACCTTTCCGGAGTGTCAATCAAACTTAACTGACCAATCAGAACAGCGCCAGAAATATGCGCGACTCACATATGCATGTGTTCAAGGGATGGGGCTTAGCGAAATAGTTCATTACTCTTTGGATTAGTTCTTGTAAATACTGTACTCAGATGGGTTAATTTAAACCACACAGGAATATACGGTATTTTTTATCATCACCCTCCATCAAGTGCCAGTAGAAGTATGATGAGAATAATGCAGATAATACCAATGTACTATAAAGACCTAACAAATAACAAGAATGCTAAGAAAGCCAAAGCATGGATAACATATTTGCTTGACTAAATGATACACAGGTCTCATGTCTGGCTACATAAACCGTATGCGAACTGCACACATGAGGAAAAAGCAAGATTTAATTTAAAAACAAATACAACATGGTGGTGAGCCGGGCACTCACTGAGACATTGGTCGTTGGCCGACGCGATTCTATGCAGAACACAACGCGACGATGCGCGCGCAAATAATCGTTTTTTGCTGATGATCTGTTCAGGCTGCCACCAACAATCAGCAGACAGTGTCGCATCGTCTATCGATCACAAAGAACGGAATTGGATTTGGCCAGCTTTACTTCGCTACAGTGGTAAATTTAGCTTCTCTCCTTGACTTGGGACTACCACCCTCCGCTTCAGGTTGGGATGTAGTCCAACTCTTCGAAAAGTTCACTACTTCACTCCAAACCATAATTTTATTAATAATAATTGTATTTGTATATTCATTATGATAGCAGTTTTTTGTCAGTGTAACTGACCTTAACTTCAAAGCAATTTAATTTAGTTAGGTAATGTTACAAAAAATTTAATTTTCTTTTTAGGAAGTTGTGAAGTACCAGATCCTCCTGAAAATGGTGATCTTATCGAATCATTCTATTACGTTAATTACCGAAATGGAACCACAGTGTACATTGTATGTGACAGTGGATACACCATGGTTGGACCTGATTCAAGTACATGCTATAATGGGAAAATGTCAGAATTACCAACCTGTCATGGTGTGTTTCTTTTCTCAATATCTACAGTAATTTTGTTTATGTACATGATTGCTAATTACGTTGTTGTTACTTGAAACGTTATAAACTACGCAATGATTTATACGGCTTATACTTTCATAATTATTTAATTTAATGGTATAATGTTCTATATATGCAATTTGATCTAGATTTTGAATTAAATAGGGAAACAAAACAACTCATACTATTATATTTTAGGTATATATAATGATTTGAATTTTGGTATACATTTCATTGACAATGAATATTCCTATCACAAGAGGACGTTGAACCTAATAGTCAATATACCTTTCTCTGTTATCAGAGATAGTAGTAGCAGCAGCAGATAGCAGTAGTAACAACATAATAATCATATGAAACAATTGTAAAGCAACTTACTGCTGTGTAAACGTTACAAGTTAATTATTAGAACAGGTGAATTTAAAATTTGACTTGTATTGCTGAGGGGATTGAGTGTGAAGTGGATGCTAATTCCAGATTTACCTTGGTGAAAAAACTCTTTGGCTCAGATTTACAAATAGCCCCAACCTGGGAACACAGCAGTAGAACAATTTAACAAAGAAAATTATCTGCTAGTCATCAGACATAAATATACATATAATTATTGTAGGCTATAAAGGATCAATAAAGCTTACGAGAACTGGCGTATAATGGCGTACATTGCATAAAGGTTTTTTTTCCTCATTAAAAACAACTCATAGGCCTATCCTTTAACAAAATCTCTACAAATATAAAACAACTGCTGGTGTACAGTGACCACAAGTACTAGTAACTTTATTTACCTTGCAATCACTATGGAAGCCCAACTATTTTTTGGAACAATTTTTTTTTGCAATAGCATGAGGTAGCCATACACTGACAGATTACTATAATTTTTTCCTATGCAGAGAATTGCATCTTACCAATGGATCCAATATATGGTTCTGTATCGGGATCGACGATACACGGTGAAAATATTATATTCTACTGCAACAGTGGATTTAGGCCCGATGAAAATAGCAACGTAACTTCAGTCTGTTTGGACGGGCAATACAGTGCTACATCCATTGTATGCAAAGGTAGTATTGACATCCCTATTTCCGACATTTGCTTACTGTTAGGGGTAGCTACTCGGTGGGGTATTATGAATTACCAGGGATCTGTCAATCTCAATCGGAGGAGAGTAAGCTCGAATCTAGCCAGTGGTGCCTTAGAGAAACTGGATAAAATGTTTATGTGTTTTCTTGTTTTGCTATGAGAGGTTACAGATGAGTTGGGGTGGCGGGGGTTTGGGGAGAGTGATGAAACTTAATCCTACTGCCTTTTCATTACACCGTCACTGATATGTGAATAATATGTAAATTCTTCAGCCTGCCTTCAGTGCCAAGCATGATTATATTAGTCGAGGCTGCTGATCACTTAATTCAAATAAAGTCTCTTTGTGAGGCATTATTTTTTTTTTTTTTTTTAGTTTTAAAAGACTGCAGATGCTTTACAACAATAAAAAGCTTTGTATAAACTACTTTGATAGGTAAAAAAACTTTCGGATTCGTATTGTACATTTTTCTATTGCTCTGTGAATATATTTACTTATATATATTTACTTATATATTTATCATATTGTGCCAACAGATATGTCTTCCTTGTACTGCCTCTTGTACTCTATGAATTGAAGTAGAAAAACAAATGTTTTATGTGTACCCAAAATATATAACAATTATAATTAATCTGAATTGGAATTGAAGTAATAAAAGCTAAATTGCATCCCCAGTGTTTTATTAAATCAAGTATCTAATCTTTCAGAAAGTCGAATCTTGATAACCCAGTCTCTTAATAAGCTTGAAGAAAGCCTATCCTTTCGTGAATACTTACCTGGATAACCGACTAATTGCCATTGTTCCTGAAACGGAACACCCCTTCGAAAAAAATGGAACAGTCCGACCCAAGGCGCCACGTGCGAACCGTCTCCCTAACAAACGTCCTCATTCCCCCTTTCAACGTTGTTCGAAGTCGGATACATCTAGCCTTTGAAAATTTCTAGCAGACTTTTCAAGCAATTCTGTTCTCCTTGGATTTATTTTTGCTTTGGATTTATTTTTGCCTTGGATTTATTTTCAACTTGTGGTTGACAAGATATCCTTTTTTTTGTAGTCTTGATCGGCATGTCCGCTCACAAGTCTTTGTGCTCAGCGTGTGGGGGCCCCAAACCGAGTGTTAAGCTCGACCGGCACTCGGAGTGTCCGTTGTGTCGCTCGTGTAGCAAGGCTGAGCCTTGCGAGATTTGTGCGCACTGGCCCCCGACTAAGTTTGCGGCGGCTCTGGATTATCTTAACGGTAATATCTTTTCTTGGTGTCAACAGATATTGATGAATGTATGGAGAATCTGCACAATTGTTCCAATTTTGCTACGTGTACTAACACACTAGGATCATATACATGCTCATGCTTCAATGGATATGAAGGCAATGGAAAATCATGCAAAGGTTTGTGTCATCCTAATAATGTGATATTCATATTTTTATACTTTGAACACAAATAATAATATAAAAAGAAAAATATAAGCTTATACTTAATTTGTTTGAATTAAAGACATTAATGAGTGCACAAGTGGCACAGATGACTGTTCAGCATCTCCCGCTGGATTATGCCAAAATGAAGAGGGCACATTTTCTTGTTCTTGCAACGTTGGTTATCGTGGAGATGGAAGAATATGTGTTGGTAAGATAAATACATATTCAATAAAATTTTTTGACAATAACACAATATACAATAAAGTTGTAAACAGTATACAGGAGCGGATTTGGCTGGGTGTTGGCCCGGCCCTGTCTCCCCCCTCACTTTTGGAAGGTAAAAAAAAGAAAAGAAAAAAGAAAGAAAAAAAGGATAGCCCAAAACGCCTCAAATGTTATTTTCGGGCGTCTAGAACACATATTGCCCTAGACCCCAGAGGAGAGTGTTGTCTTGATTGACCCAACTTTGGCCCCCCCCCCTCTTTTTTTTGACATCTCTGGATCTACCCCTGGTATAAAATGAAAATGTAGTTCAATTTTACTGAAATGATAACCAATTATGTGGAAGTATAACATTTTTTTAGAATTAAAATTGTGTTTATAATGACTACTATCTTAATTGTACCTTGAATTTCATTTGTACCCTGTTGTTCAAATGACAATAAAGAATATCGTATCATATCGTATCGTATCGTATTAGAAAATATTGTCATACCCTTACAAATATAATATTTCATTTGTAGAAATTACAATGCTGCCATTTGGAGTTGACTATGGCGATATCAGCCTTTTGGAAACAGTCGGTCCAGGTCTGGACATCATTTCACCGGACATAGAACCTCTTACTGGCTTCCCTTATGGAAGCGATTTCTATTATAGAATATATGTAAGTTTGATCAAAGAATGGTCAATACCTTTCCAATTTTCTCACATTTACTACTATAGTTAAATTCAGCTACTATTACTTCTACTACTAAAGCTGCTGCTACTGCAATCAATAAATGTCGCAGTGCGTCGTCAAACCCTCGCAGAAAGTGGAGGTGGAGTTGTCGGTTAACGACCGGTAGTTTAACACATGCGTGCCCAGCTTGAGTCTGTGTTGTGAGATTTCTGGACTTATGAGAACTAATTCTTATGTATTTTCAGTTCACTGATAACGGTGTGGTAGTACTTTCAACCATCAATAGCGAGAAATTCGCCTTTGCGCATCCGACCAGGGGTGGTTTCCAGCCGGACGCAAGTGAACAAATAATTGCACCGTTCTGGGCAGATGCTGATAACTCGCGATCTGATGGAGATATATTCTACCAGGTAAATGTTAAGCTTATCTCTTACCTAAAATAATGTTATTGTCACTGTTGAATTGGAGAATTGATTGGATCAGTACTTATAGGCCCTTATAGGCCTAATGATTTTATACTATACTAATTTATCAAATAATATCTATACTTGTGTTTTCACCCAGCTACCACAGAAAATTTAATTTTTGGAAGACTTAAATCTTATGATAATATGCAATACGGAAATTAGAAAGCCTCAATAGTCTCTAATGGTTTATAACCCTATATCACACTTGCGGCCATGTTGTAGATCTACATTGGGACATTAAATTATGAACATAGATTAAGAGATAAAAACCATATTTATTATTATTTTCTAAGTTGTTTAATCATTATCAGTCCATTATTTAACATTCATGTGACAATGAAAGTGTTCTTATAATGTTTTGTTGCAAGCATTAAGACAGTTAGACCAGCATCCAGAAACATTTTCTTTCATGTATTTTACAATATATTTATGACTACATATAGTAAGTATTTTTTACTTACTGCCAACAGGTGTACAGTGCTCAAGAACCAACAAACAACACTGAGGCTATGCTGCGCACAGCAACAGAAAATATTCGAAATTCGACGGTTTCAGAGGAAAATTACTTTGATAAACAATCATTTGAAGCCAATTGGATGCTTCTAGTGACATGGGTTAACTTGCCACAGGTTCCTGCATTCAGTAACAGGGAAAATGTAGGTCGATACAAATGATTTTCATTCTTGCAGTCTAGTTCTCTGCTTTGATTTTAACATCATATTAAAATGTGATATTATAGATATTTAATGTTTTGCATATTTATGTTATTTCCTATAAAATATAAATTGAACCTGTTAAGTACTTCTTATATCAGTCAACTAACATTCAAATATTAACATTCCTTTGGTGATGACCTTAAAATAGGAATAAAACACCTGTCAAACATTGAAAATTTATTATTTTAAATCTGTGAATGTCCCAGTGGTGGCTCCAGATTTTTGCCGACAGGAGTCCGACATGTCAAACAGTATAAATTTTATATTTTTATTGTTTGTGCTGTTTTTGAAATCCATGAAAAGGAGCTTTCGATTTGTGCGACGACGCGGCGATAGAACGAAATCACTCATGCGTGACCGTTCTACCTGGCGCACTACATTCTCTGCATATGCATATTTGGCCAAATTGCGCTCCTAATTGTTGATAAGGTCCCATGACTCAACAGTGTGCATACATGTGATTGTGAGACATGCACGTATTCATGGCCTTGCTCTGATTGGTCAGTTGTTAGGTTTGGTTGACATTCCGGAAAGACCCATTGCTGTGACACTTATTAGTACATATCTGATCACTTGATTTATGCAGTATGTCTACAGCTAGTACAAAATAATTGATCTTACGATAATTTTGATATTCTGTTTTGTAGACGAACACATTCCAAGCTGCATTGGTAACAGATGGTCGATATGGCTTCGTTCTCTTCAACTATGAAATTAATGAAATGAAATGGGCACCTGAGGTATTAGAAGACTTGGATGTCATCATCGGTTATAATGTAAAATTTTCCCAGAATGTTGAGAGCGTTAATGAGCAATTCAGTTTCCCTGATGAAATGTCGAGATATCGACCTGACCAATATACGGGTAACACTGGCTTGAAAGCGAGATGGATCTTTCGTGTTGAAAGAAATTATCCATGGACAATAAACTACAAACAATTATGTTTGAATTGGTACCAGACACAACCCGATCCATCGGAATGGGACTTCCGGTTAGGTACATGCCCCTGTGCATTTGGGCAAGGAAGAAGTGATGGAAGATATGGCAATGGTAGAAATGCAGCAGGAAGGGCCAGCAGTAGCAGCCCATTGGATGAAGACCTTTTGAATAGAATTAATAGAAGACGTAGGTATCAACTGTTAATGTGTGAGCCATTAATATACACAGGATTGTTTTAAATAATACAATAATAATAAATAAATTAAGTACAAGTATGTATGATGAGTCTTAGTAACAAAAACATCAAATCTGTCTACCAATATGGTAAATTATTTTATAATGGCTGTGTTCTCACACAGCTGCTAATGGTTAGCAGGATCCAGATCCTGCTAACCGTTAGCTGCAATACGTCCATTCGAGAACATCCCGATCCGGATACCAAAAATATGATGATCGAATCACTGGCCAATAAGAAACCGGAAATTTTAAACGCGTATGTGTGATTGGTTGATGACAAAAACGTGCTCAACTTGCTAGCCGATAGCGCTTGCTAACCGTTAGTTGTATCCGGATATTGCTAACGGTTAGCGCTAACCAATCGGGCGTTCTCACGCAGGTGCTAACAGTTAGCGCTAACGGTTAGCTTCCAGTCCGGATACTAGTGCTCTCGTGAGAACCAGGCTTTAATGTACTGTGATATAAATAGATTATATTTATATATACACTATATTCTCAGTAAATTATATCATGCCTGCTAATAGATGTTAAGACCTGGTTACTCTTATATATTAAATAGGATCGTCTTTCTGTTTACAAACATCAACACCATCACCTACGGGTGCGGGAATTAGATGTTGCTACCGTAGAGACCAGTCACTGATTGTAGGTTATGGCACCTATTGGCTAAGTAGTTATCTTGAACGATACCATCCGAATGGAAACTGGACCGAGTGGTATTGTAAGTATTCTTATACTTTAAACAATAAACATAAAGAAGTAAAATAAGTTTCGGATAATGTTACCATCATCATCACATTTATTATTATTATTATTATTATTATTATTATTATTATTATTATTATAATTATTGTTTTTGTTGTTAATAGCATCATTCGTATTGTCCAATATATAAATCCGACCCCTGTTGGATATGTACACATTTCTGGGTTGTGGGCTGATATAGAAACAGCATTTAATTTATTATTGGAAAAGTGCTGTTGGATTATTAACTGACCTTCTGTTTATTATTATTTTACAGTTTTTTTTTCCTTAAAACAATCAACTGATTAGTTAGGCTATATTTCTTATTGTTTAGTGGGAGATATGGAGTCGCGTTACTATTGTTGTACAGGCTCCAAAGATCCTTATTTTTGCGGTCTATATGAAGAGAAACGTCCTCGTGCATCATGCGATGGTTACCTTCCACTGAACACTGGTAATACATTTTTACATTATTATGCCTCATTAGTCACAAACTTCAATTTGAATATGGAGTTGATTATATGTACAATTTTCATTGGTGTGGGGATGGACATTACATCCAGTGCAAAACACTGGGGCCCAGGGCTATTAGGGTCCCATTCAATGGGACCACATAAGCACCTGTTGAAATATTTATGGATTATTATTAGTTTTTATTACTACCCTGATTTAAGGAGGGGGTGGGGGCAGTGGTTGGTAATTAAGAAGCAATTACGACAAATGTGAATCCAGTAATAAGAAAGTACCGAGTCCTATAATGTTTATTCTTTGATTTCAAAATATGGCACCTGAAAATTTCAGAGCTTCCAGGGCTTCCCCTATCTCAAGTAAACATTTATGAGTTGCCAAATGTACCGTCATTGTTTAACAAAATTATGCATATAACTCATTTTTTAATATATATAATTCAATATTTCTTTGTTATTTGGCACCTCATAATCATTACGCTAGGACCTGTTCCCACCTGGCTATGCCACTGAAAACTTTGATTTTATTCTTGATCAGGATGGATGTTTGGCGATCCTCATATGACAACACTGGATGGTTATGAATATACGTTTAATGGTGTTGGCGAGTTCATTTTGGAACAGGTGCTGCTTGATGATGGTCGTCGTTTTGTTGTACAGTGTCGAATGGAACAACCTATCTTACAAACAGATACTTCTGAAGGCGCTACCATATTCACATCATTCGCCGGTGCTATCGACGATGGTACTAAGGTAGAATATTAAATCCATGCTCTTTAATCTCTTTTTTCAATTATAATTGTCATATATGCAACAGTCATATATGCAATTTTGATACAATATGTGAAGTACATTTATGTTACAGTAACTAATTTATAGTAATAAATTTAAAACACAGGTTGAGATGAGAATAACTGAAAATGCAACAGACATTGATATATTTGTAAATGGTACAAGTATTAACAAGACTCAGTTGATTGAAGGTAGTGTACTACAAACTATATAATGATATTTTTGTTTAATAATAAAAGTCAGTGGTTTCCATACAATCGCTAAACGCTATCGCCGACAGCTTTCGGTGATGCTGATTGGTCGGTCGAATCGGGGAGCCTTCCCAATTGCGTCAGGGACTGCTACGCAGTACTACGATTGCACTGTCTGTGGCAACAGTATAGCGATTTTAAGGAAATCAGTCTTAAAACATGTGTGCAACTGCATTTATTTGATATTAATGTTTTAATCCAATTTTGAATGATTCAACTATTTGCATTGCAGAAGCATACACAAGTGCTATGGATACAACATTCAGCATTCAACTTGTAGATGGAGAATATGTCAATGGTGAAGACAGATATTTAACATCTTGGTCTAGTGATGTATCGTTTTCAGTAGCCGTCTCTGCTGGAATGTTGAATGTAATTTTCCAAGCCACAGCGAACTACAAAGGCAAAGCTAAGGGATTGTTAGGTATGGTGTCATATTTTTGCCAATAATAATTAGCTTTTTGTTCTTATTTCTATTATCTAGACCCTGTACTTGACTTTTCTACACATAAATTAAAAAGCTTGAACAGCAAATGAAATAAATCATTCAAAGCTAAACTAATTTATTTTTCTTATATTTTCATTTAAATGACATTTATTCCATGATGGAAATAATAAAGGTATACAGTACAATACAAATAATAAAAAGAAAAAAAAACATCATTGGGATTATGACTAAAAGTAAAACTAGTAATGACCCCAATTACTATGCAACATAAAGTTGATTGAACTCATCAGTACATAATCCATGTTTGTAACATTGAAATTGTTGTCAGTGACAATTCACAGCATATTTGACTAAGTTAATGTGTAAGATATTTAACTTTAGGTAACTGGGATGACAATATAACAAATGATTTTGAAAAGAGAGATGGAACTGTCCTCGTTCCCGAATCTGGACAAAATCTAACCGATGCCGACTTTTTTGAATTTGGAAATTCATGTAAGTGAAAAGTTCTTTTATAAATATAACATTGTATTTTTCTTTTAAAAATTGATCTTCTCACCCAAACGCCCATAGACCATCACTAGTCTGTCGGTTGGAACTCTGACTATTGCTTTCTAAGCAGCACGATCTTGGCATAGGTTGTCTGCTTCATTTATGTCTTTTCCTGTTCTTGTGAGGATCTTTCTAATTCCGTCCTGCCATTGATTTCTCGTCCTTCCTACTGTTTTTTTTTCCCTTGTGGTTTCAAATCATGTATCCTTCTTGGGTCTCTTGTTGGGGACATTCATTTTATAAGGCCATACCATCTTAATTGATTCCGTTCGATGATTGTTATAATCGACTCTAGGTCCAAGATGTTTCTAATTCTTGCGTTTCTGATTATATTATGAGAACTGATGCTCATTTATAAAAAAATAAAAATATCCATATTTATCCAAGAATAAGTCTGGGAACCCTTATTTCTGCTGCTTGTACTTTTCTCTTTAATCGCTCTGTCCATACCCATGTTTCACAGCCGTATATAAGGATAGGTATGAGGATAGGTATGAGTATAGTGCTGTAAATTATAACTTTTACCCTTGTTGGTATCTGTATTTTTCAGGGCGTATTTCTGAATCAGAATCTCTGTTTACTTACAAAGAGGATGAATCTTATGACACCTTTAACAACGAGAGTTTTAGACCAGTATTTCTAAGCGAATTGATAGCAAGTAGCAGCAATGACATGTATGACAAGGCAGTTGAAGCATGTGGAGACAGCAAAATGTGTCTATACGACACTCTGGCAACAAATGATTTATCTGTTGGGGAAAATACACTACAGACCAATCAGGATATTGTAAAGGATGTCAACGAATTAAGTAAGTTTTTAATTTCGGAAAAGAAAATGAAAATTTCCTTCTTATTTTCTTCTTGCCAAACTAATATATAAAAACTGCTTCCCGATAATAACAATCGGGTAGTGTTACAACAACACGGATTGTAATAGCATAATAACAATAGCGGGACATACTATGTCTATTTGTAAAACAGAATTAGGGTATTTCTGCTCATTCAAATTATGAGAACTGATGCTCATTTATAAAAAAATAAAAATATACTATAATTAATTATAGAAAAATAAATACATGAATACAGGAACCACTGCATTATAAAACGGACCCTTGAAGATCAAAGTATGATCTATTATGCTAATTATCAAGTTTTTGAATTTTCTTCTAGTGAATTATCCACCAAACATAACGTACGTAGATGATACATCGGATGCAATCAGTGGAGATTATTTTCATGGAATTGTCGGAAAAAGTTACTCTTTGACTGTAAATGCTGTAGATGAAAACGATGATGACATAATATTTTCTCTTTATGAACCTATTGCTGGTGCTTCAATTGACCCAACAAGTAAGTATGTTATTATTGTCATCCATTATCCTAAAAGGAAACATGATACTCTTACACTTTCATTGATGATCCAAGTTTCTAATCTTTTTTTGTCATACGTATTAGTTTTAAAATTTATATCGTTAAGTATTTAATGTATACAACTCAATGTGTGCTGTGCACATTATAACACATTTTAGAGGCTGAATTTTTATTAAATTATTGATCATTATAATATAAAAAAGATAATAGCAATTTAAAAGACTTTACAGGTATTTTATTATTACAAATATCTTAAATTTGCTGCAAAGAAAACTGTGAGACTGTAAAAAATGATAAGACTCAAGCAATGACATCATTTAAGTGTCTGGTAACTGTCATTATTTTCCTATTAAATTTTGCATTTGAAAGCTATTAACTAAAGTACATGTATTTATGTGGCAGTATATCTATATGGAATATGTACTCAGGAAGACAAACATAGTGTTGTCCTGGTATATTGGTCAATTTACAACTACTAGAGGTAGTGGTGTACTCCCAACACCATTCATTGAGTTAAATTAATCTTACCTTACATTAAACAACATAATGGTTTTCTACAAATTAATTTCACAGCGGGTGTGTTATCATGGACACCAGAAGATACATCCATGGTCAGGCTTGGCATTGTTGCCTCAGACGGTCTTGCAAATTCTACGAAAGAATACCTGGTTCTAATGTGTGATTGCAAAAACGATGGTATTTGTAATTTTGACAATATTGAAGACGATGCTGATGTTTTGGAAAACTCTTTTGCAGTAAGTTAGGGTTGATTGTACAAGGGTGATTATTTAAGAGGAACCAGTGTATGTATGCAACCAAAATAATTAAATATGCCAAACAATGTTAATGGACCTTGTCGGAGTATCAATCAACTTAACAACTGACCTACCAACAGAACAGTGCCAAGAATATGTGTGTGTCAAAGAAGCACATGTGTTGTCCTACAAATGCACATGTCCGCATATGTTTTAACACTGTCAATTAACATGTCGACAAGGACGTGAAGCCCTGCCCACAAAGTCACGAAAACCTTAGACAATGACGGCTAGACTTACCGAGTTGGCGACCATTTTCTTTGCTATCAACCTTCTCTAAGAAAGAGAATTCAGGGTAGGCGGTATACAAATGAATCATATGTTCATAGTGTTTATCTATTTCATGGAACAGGCGGGGAAATTGTTGTAAAAGCCTCTGTATTTCGTTCCCAAAGGAATAGGGAAAAGCCACATTCAGTCAACCTAGTTGTCGGCAAAGGCCAAGTCACTGATGCGCAGTGCTCATGTAAATCTGGGTATCTATAACCAAGCATAGACATCTAGGCCTAGGCTCACGTATGTTTCGCGTAGACAACCAGCTGTCTAAGGAAACTAAAATGTACGAGAAAAAGTTTTTGATCACATGAAATGCTCGCTGATTAGTCGGTTTATTTGTTAATCAAATCTCATCGAGATGTTAATTTGCGGGACCTTAGCTACAATATTCCAGCAAACTATTGAAATTCTAATAGATTTCTTCTCTGTCCCCACTACTTTCATTCTTTTGTGACAAATAAATTTTGTATGCTCATATTTGGGAGTAATATGACATCAGCATGCCACATATTATGTGCACATCACACAAATTTGTCACATAAAATTTGACAGTGTAAACAGAGCTTTAGTTTACTATATATTCAAATTTGAGTTGTATTATTTTACTGTGATGTCATTTCTATAGATTGTTGCATGTACATGCCATCCTGCATATACGGGACTCGACTGTAGTGAAAACTTTGACGCTTGTGCCGAAGAACCATGCTATCCAGGCGTTCTGTGTACAGATAATCCACCCCCAAGTCCTAATGCAACATGTGATAGTTGTCCAGAAGGTTTAGATGGAGATGGATTCAAATGCTACGGTAGCCATTCATCATGTTATTTTTATTTGTAACATTCTATTGTACATTTTAGAACCATGAGCATTGTAAGCTACAGTAATTATTTATTTGTTATGCAATTATCAAACAATATTTCTATGATAATGCAATCATTCAAATTTATTAACAAGTAAAGAAAATGTCTTTGCTATATGATTTTGTTTTTAAAATACGAAGTCACAAATTAATGGAAAAGAAAATTAAATAAAGAAATGGTTAAAGTCAGATAGTAAAGAAAGCATAGGTGATGTATTAAAGTTGATTTTACACAAATGGATTGTGCTGGGAGTTATAAAGAAAAGTAAGGAACTGAGCAAACAGAAAAATGGAAGTGTATTAATCCTTGAATAATAGGGGGCCTACTTTTTTCAGATCATAATGAATGCGAAACTGGTAACGGAGGCTGTCTACAAGAATGCATAAATTCACTAAATAGCTTCCAGTGCAGTTGTTATGATGGCTACACGCTTGAAAATGATCAGAAAACTTGCAATGGTATGTTTGTATATCGTTTATTGAAAACACAGTATCATATCAGGTAGTCTCAAGTATTTAAAATCTCATAAAACATCTTCACTTAAAAAGTTTTCATTCCTAAATATATTAAAATTTAGAATGATTTAATCTTTAATAATTTACACTATAACATAACCGAAATCTATTATTATCAATATGCCGAGAGACATACATTGAAAGTAAATTATACAAAGCTAATAATAAATAAAATATAAGCAAAAAGTATCTAGAAAAATTTTGGATATTGACATAATGTGATTGTTTTTTACACTTGTGTACTCTTTGCTATTTATTATTATTTCTATTATTAGTAACAAAATTAAAATCGAATGTACTATCATATTTTCTACAAAATATTAGATATTAATGAATGTCTTCAAGAAAATGATTGTAGTGAGAATACAATGTGTTCAAATGTTGACGGAAGCTATGAATGCCCTTGTTTACCCGGGTACGTCGATGTTAACGGTGATGGAAATGGGTGTCAAGGTAAGTATATCTCAAAGTGTATTTTATTTTAGCAACTTAGAGGCTAAAATAATCTCATAAAACATCTTCACTAAAAGTTTTCATTCCTAATTAAAATTTAGAATGATTTAATCTTTAATAATTTACACTATAACATAACAGAAATGTATTATTATTATTATTATTATTATTATTATCAATATACCGAAAGACATACTTTGAAAATAAATTATGCCCTTGTTTACCCGGGTACGTCGATGTTAACGGTGATGGAAATGGGTGTCAAGGTAAGTATATTTCTTAAGAAAGTGCGTTTTATTTTAGCAACTTAGACGCAACTTGTGTTTTTCTTCCCAAATTGCTTGCATAACCTAATGTAAACGTGATATAACATGGCAATGCTGTAAGGCAGTAATGTGGTTAACACCGTATTACTGTAATAATTTGTACTGGTGAGAAATTTCCAATCCAAAACATACTTAAACGTACGCATGGCAAACTCTGGTGTCCTATTCAAACGCTTCGTATAACCTAAAGTAAACGGGTTAAATACTGTTTGAAACAGCTGTAAAAGTGCTTCTTTGACTGGAAGTATTGTTCCTGTTCTTTGTTTTCCTAGACATTGATGAATGTATTGGCAGCCCTTGTGATAATCTAGCCATGTGTGAAAATACCAATGGCTCATTTACATGCACGTGTTTACCTGGATATTCAGGAGATGGTTTCACATGTGCAGATGTCAACGAATGTGAACAAAATTCTGACAACTGTGACGTGAACGCAAAATGTACTAATACTCACGGTTCTTTTAAATGTGTCTGCTTGGCCGGTTTTACTGGAAATGGTACTTTTTGTGCAAATATTGATGAGTGTGTAATGATGACCCACACGTGTAGCGTTACAGCAACGTGTACTGATTCTGTTGGAAGCTACACCTGTGGTTGTACCACTGGATACGTTGGAAATGGTCAATCGTGTATAGGTAAGTTTTTAAAATCAAGGTATGGTGATTTTTTTGTTGTTTTTAATACATAACAGTACGGAACAAAAGTAAATAGACCAAGACAAAGTGTAAATATGATAACATTATTTTGCTACTACCAATATGTCATTAACATCAGATTGTTGGAACAAAAACAGTATAGTTGTATTTTAAAGTTAATCATGTTTTTATGTGAATTATTGAGTGTAATTGACTTTAAGAATATAAATGTGTGCACCAAACTCGCCTCTTGCCCTAACTGGTTAAAAAACTAAATGGGTCAGGGATTCAAATTCGATTTTGAACAAAGTTGTTTCTACTAATAGAGTTGATGTGATTATATCACATCATTTGTTCTTCAAACAATGTTATATTTTCTAATTTCATATAGTATACAAAACCAACCCTATTTTGAATATTAAATATGTACAGTATATGATTATGATATATTTCTGTTGTTATTATTTATCTATTTAGTATATATATATAGATAAATAATAATACAAATGCTCAAATAGGAACATGATGTTATAATCCTATCAATTCTTTAAAAAATATTTCAAATGATTGATGTCTTGCATATAAATACATATATATTATATTGCAACATTTATTTCAATTTATACAGTAATCAAAAGTGTAAATTTGTTTACAAATTGTGGTTTATACAGTATAATATATATTTTTGTTAGACCTGAATGAATGTGAAAGTGGAGATAACAACTGTGGAAAAAATACAAATTGTGTGAACACGCAAGGATCTTACACCTGTAGATGTAACACAGGCTATACACTGAGTAATGATACATGCATTGGTAAGGAAATTTATTTATATGTAATATGTAATATAGAATGTTTGATTTTCCTTACAACTACTGTATTTTTTTAGGCACATAGCCAGTAGAGTAAATATAGCTATACCACATCGGTGCAATTTCTTTCACAAGACAAATATAAACACAAGATTCTTAACATAAACTAGGTCAGATTTAGTAGTGGAGTGGTTTTGGTTTAATGAAAAACAAATTTTGGAATTGAACCCAGAGCCCTAAAATTAGAAGGCAAGCATATTCACCACCAAGCTACATGACCCTACCAAGCTATACTCCACTGGCAGCAAATGCAAAAAAAAATTAACTTGCATTGAAGTTATCTAAAGGAAATGATGGTTTCGTGGATAACTAGCTTGTTGATAAAGAGATTGAAGTGTAGACCATCGGAAAAATAAAATATGGCTTATTTTGTTTTTGCAGATACATTTATATCTAGTTTAAAAAGGAATATTTGGGTAGTTGCAATTTTTTGATCAAACCTAATTTCTTATGTAAATAATATCTAAAAATCTATATTACTTTTACACAATGTTATGCTATATAATATTATGCTTTGATGTATGTCTATATCTGCAGATGTCGACGAATGTGATTCGTTGCCTTGTGATGTGATCGGTTCATGTGAAAATATTCCTGGTTCCTACATCTGTAGCTGTCCACCAGGCTATATAACTGGGAATGGAGGCTTATGTGAAGGTTTTCAATCAAGCAATTATCTATATTTACCAGCACACAAAACAATAAAATAAGTGTGTGTATATATTTGCATTCACACCTGGGTTGTGTATATATATTGCCTTGGTTTGGCTCTGTAATCGTTAATGGTCGTGGGACTAGTTTGGGCCCTACCTAGGCTGGTCGAACGTTTCGTTTGGGTCTATACCCCAGCTGCACTGATGAGGCCTGGAAGGCCGAAACGGATCCGTCTGCAGATATTGGGATTCCTTCCA